GACACCCCAAAACAAAATGCAGAGTGAACCATTGAATTCAGAAGTCAATTGATCACAATGGAGTTCAGATATTCTTAATTTATTCTTAGTAGAAATAAATCTGTTCTCTTCCTGGTCTTCATGATGTCCTTTAGATGACTCCTAAAGGCATTTATTGAGTTGTACTGGTTGTATTTGAGTGCATCAGAGGGAATGGGGGTCAAATACAAATAGTGAACATAAATACGAGTTCTGTCATAAAAACCTTTGAAAACCATCTAGTATTTTTCTCTCCGTATTGTTTGGCCTCATAAAATCCCCCATAATGCCTTACATTTATTCAGCTGCAACATGATGAAATGTGGAAAGTTTGAAGTCCATGAATGCTTTTGCAAGGCACAGTATATAAAATCTGTTTATTACAGTTAATTTTTTTAAAATGCTGTCAAAGGATTTATATCCCCCATTCTGAGCCAATATCTTTTCATTAGTCGAGGGTTTTCAAGGATAAATCCAAGGTTTGAGGCTCTTTAGGAACATCAGTTTTGATGTTTTATTTGAGGTCATAGCACAACGACCGAGAATTGCAAATGTTTTCTTTTAGTGTGTGTGTGCAAAAGTAAAAAAAAAGAAAGAAAAGAAGTGGAGATTTCTCTCCAGGGCTTGTCCACTAGAGTCAGCGTCCTGTGGGGTTGACAGCCAAGGCCCTGGTGACACACGCTTATGCCCATAAACAGGGATTTGGTCCTCTGGAGAAAATAACCTTGATAATTACTGGGTTCATATGGACCTGCCCACAGTGAGAGGGGGGAGGAAGGCTGACTGAGAAGTTAAGGGGAGAGAGAGCGAACCACATCCGCTGGTGCATTCCTGCATGCTGTGTCATAGTGGTGCCGAGTTTCCCTTCGGTTTGCACGGAGATTTCCACAAGGCGGAGAGCGCGCAGAGGCACTGATGCAGCGCCTGAGGCTGTGGACTCCTACATTTAAAGTTTAACAAGGCACAAGTCATTCGTATTCTCTCCACAGAAACAGAAAGAGTGTACGTAAGAGAGCTGGCAGACGATGGTGAAAAACTGGTGCTGTATGGAGGGTGGGATACATGGAAAACAAGATAAAAAAAAATATATATATATATATATACAGTCTGGTGACCTAACAGTGGAGACACTTATACACTGAGACTGTCCTCTTCCAGTCTCTTTCACTTGCATCATGTGGTGGAACTGATTTGGCACCGGCGCAGCAGCCAGAGCTGCATGTCTGTGTCTGGCTGGCCGCCCGTCTGCTTGCCTGTCATTCTGCTGGTTAAAGAGGCCTTGTTGAACCGCTGCGCCGTGCCTGCCCGCTGCAGGGCTATTCATGCCTGCGAAGCCAGAAACAGCCAAGTCTTGTCAACCGGCGCTAGCTAGCTCACACCAATTGACTCCTCCAGGGGCAGTTTGCTTGCTAAGCACACCGACTCAAGCTACTCAATAATCCATTTTTTAAAGTTTCGATTACATTTCAGAGGACGTCCACAGTCCATACCCTCCGTCCCAATACGTGTGCGTCTCCCGGATTGAGTGCGTGGCGGAATAGACTGATCCTTTCCCAGAGGAGTTGTATAACACCGGCACAAAACAAAGCAGATCCCTCGAGCCGCGTCGAAGGCTGCAGATTTCAGCTACAGTTTGTCACTCAGATAGAGTTCTCCCCCTGCTTGTCTGGTTAATGGCAGCTCATTCTGTCACAGTTGACCTGAGCCTCCGTGAACTGTTCTGTGTCCTTTTCTCAGTCCCTTTGTGACACACATCATGAGGACAGGCATAAGAGCCATGGCTTCATTTTGCGCTCCCACTTTCACCTCCTCCTCTCATGCTCTCATTCCCAACTCCTTCATCTTCCCTTCTGTCCTTCCCTTTTCTGTTCCCCTCCCTCGCTCCTCGCTTTGGCGTCTGCATTCCTAACATCCTCCTGCTATGATTAGCTGTCGTGTTTTTTCCCCCCTCAGCCAGTGTAATTTCTAGATCCTCCTGTGTCCTTGGAAAGCTCGTCTAATAAGCTCAGACACACTGATATCTCCATGCACCACGGGCCTTATTCTCCAGTGTCACCAAGCATGTAAACAAAGGCGGACAAAAAAAAAAAAAAAAGAAAAGGGAAAAAAAACAAAAAACACATGCGGTGCCTCTTCCTAGCGTGCTAATAGACCCGGCCTACCAACCCCACCGAGGGCAGCACCAACAACACTAGATTGCGAACGGTGACCTTCCGCGTGCCAATCACAACAAATCTGCTTCCTGATTCGAATATTTGGAGGAAAACGGTGTAAATTGAAAGCAGAAATCCCCCCGGTGTGAGACAAGATGAGCCTAGGAATAAATTATTCAGATGGCAGTCTCTCCTGCTCTCTCTCTCTCTCTCCTGAATGATTCTCGCCTTCTGCTACATTTAATGGCATCTGCGATGACGCCCATTGGAGATTAATCCAGATGCGAGACGTTTGTGTTAGCGTGCTCACATTTGCGCTCGCGGCCCGCTCGCCCCTCTTCTCATGCATCCTGTCGTGTCGTGTGATGGGGAAACAGAGCCTCAACAGGGGAATTTATCTCTTCTCCAGAGAGGCTTGTAAATAAACAAGTTGTGAATCAATGGCTCCATTTGTTTTGTTTTTTTTTTTCTTTCTTATAATTCTGCCTTTTCTCTTTAGGCAGTGTGACAGCATTTTTTTCTGTAGATCTCAGCAGCCGTATTTTTTCTCGGTGAGAGTGAGAAAACATGCCTGGCTGGCTTCGTGTTTCATTACAGAGGATCAGTAAATTACCGTGTATGTAAGTGTGTGTGTACATGTTTTCTTTTTTTCTTTTATATCACCCACTGCAGCTCATTTAGCACCATGATGGAGCCTTTGTATGAATGGGGAAATAATACCAGCATTGGAAATTATGCTTTAGAACTTCTCAGTCAAACAAAGACACAGTAGAAATTACTTGGCTTAGATGAACACAAGAACACGCAGTCAGTCCTGTGGTTAATGTATTTCAGTCTTGGTGAGCATTATTGATTCACTGCAGAAGGATGACCCTTCCTTGATAAGTGCCTACAATATTTTACTGTTTGGAATATTTTTCTCAAGCATGTATTCATTATTTTTAAACTGAGCAGAAGCTTTTTTATAAGCCGTTTTCCTTAGAGTCCCAGCAGACCATCATGTTCATCTTGTTTTTGCCATAAACGTGTGCATTTTTGAGTTTTGTTTCTTATTTGTCCTCGTTTTTGTTTCTATTTTAATCCTCTGAGCTTCACTTCTGTTGCCTCTAGGAGCAATAATTAGCTGGTTCCAGAAAATATAAAGGGTGTTACCTGTATTAGTTAGGGTTCAGTGACTGACACCAGCAGTGAATAATGATGTGAGAGGAGTGTTCCTGTTTCTTCACACATAAAGGTAACCTCCCAGTGTGTAAACCCTGATTAGGAGCATCCTGAGTCATTCAGGTAATATCGTTTTTGTAATATTTGTGGCGCGCCAAAGGTGCCACAATGTAATAAATTAAATCAACATACAATTTTTGTTTACAACATAGCTAAAATTATGAACTTTATTAAATAAATAAATGAATAAGATTTTTTTTTGTGGATCTGTAAATAGATAGTAAATAGTTAGGTGCACAAATACACTATTACACATGAATATATATAACTTCTTCTCATAAGATTTCTCATTAAATATAATTGATAAATCATCTCAAAATGTTATTGCATTGTCATTTCCAATAAAATCACAGTAAAAAATTAAGCCACAGTAGAAAGAAGAGTGTGCATAAAATAGAATAATCTCAGCTCTACTTTTATTTCTTTCTTTTATTGGCTCTTAAGCTTCAGTGCATCATGAAATAATGTATACTGGCAATGCGCCTCCTCGTATTGACCTTAATGTTTGATCAGCTCCAAGGGCATTGTGCATGTGCTATTGTTTTTTTCAAAATGGCCTTAAATAGCTAACTATATATACATGAGTAATAAATTATAAAAACAATTAACCCCTGAATACTTGTAGTTGAAGTTTTCAGTTAGAAGTTAGCAGGTTGTCCACATCCTCGAGAACCTGCTGAATAAATATGCTTTGCAAAAGTGCCCATTTGCTTAAAGAGTAAATATCGTTGTTTATGATAATAACAAGACTGAAAATTATAATGCAAAAACATAAATAAATTTGTTTTGTTAAAAGTATCCATTTTTTTAATACTCTGGCAAGTATTACTTCTCTCAGGCTTGAAGGTTAAGGAATCATTTAGTGATTTATCAGTTCATCAAACTGTGGAAATCCTCAACTTCCAAGCCTCCCACTACACAGCGTCATACCAACCAGAGGTTTGCCATCCTTTCTTTCTCCATATTCAAGAACCGTCCTCTGTTCCCCATAACCAAGTGTGAAATTGCAGCATCAGATTGTATTTCATTAATTAAACTCACAAGACTAATTTAATTTGATTCAGATATGGGGGAAATCGTGGATCCACGTTTAGCTTGCAAACTGGTGTTAATAGTAATTAAATGTTGGGTAATGTTTTGTTTTAATTCAATTTTTTTCTTCTGTTCGCATGCTGGAAAACCGTGTCATCAAGTTTAAAACAGGCTTAGGCGAGCTAAGGATGCAGCTCTGTGAAGTATGCAGTGCTGTGTTAATAGGTCCCGTAAGAAAATCTACACATCTCCATTACAAAATAGCCAGAAGCAAAATAAAAGAATAGTTGCTCCTTGATTAGAGCCTGGAGAGTTCAAAGACAGCTGCTTCTGCAAGGAATCGTCTTGTGTTTGTCGTTTAGGTATTTCATGTTTAACACCTGACAGAATTGTGGATACATATTCTCTTTAGCTCCCCAGTTCTCTGCCTCCAATTTGTCAGATGAACAGCAGGGAGCTTTATTTCATCCTAATAAATGACACCAGCTATTCCATGTATTCCGATTACTTAAATACCACATTTTGCATCGTAACACTTGCTAACCTTTGTTGCGTTGTGTTTTGTTTTGGTTTCAGACTCGCTCTGTGATTGAATAAGTTTAAGAAGCCGATTTTGCCTAACAGCAAATACAGGAACCTCCTCATCTGAATCGGTAAGACTCCTCATTCATCCCCTCTGTCTTTGTCCAAGTGCCTTGGTGTGAGCTGCGGTGTCCATATGACCGCTTGGTCTCAAATGCAAGATAAGAAACAGTAGTTTCGATCTAGATTTTTGTTGTGTCACTTGCCTTTATCTTTAAACATGGAGTAGGTTTTTTTCCCAGAAAAACGTTGTTCATTTTATTCAGGTTGTACAGCAAAGCAGAGGAGAGAGTGAAAACTCTTTATTTCTGATGAGCAAAAGAACATAAAGAGTTTTATTTGGATATCCAGTCATTTGCAAAGAAAAGCATTTGTGTCTGCACCAACCATTGTACAACCATTGACGATTTTCATAATATTATACTACTGTAAATATGGATATGTGTATATTTATGTTATTGTGTTTCCTCTTTGGACGGTTAGACAACTTGCGCCTGTCACTTGGACAGTTTCAGTCTCTGAGAGTAGCAAACAGTTCTTACTGCTGATGTGGTTTCTGTGGCTTCTGTCTATAGAAAGACCCAGATCTTATGCAGTGACTTGCACAAACATTGATTCCCCTTAAGCCACTTCACTGTTTTTCACATTACAACCACAAACTTCCGTCCCTTATAATGGGCATTGTATGTGACAACCTAAAAAAGACAAGTGCTTAATTGTGAATGGGTTTTTGCTTGAATAAAATCTAGTGCCTTGTTAGTACATGTAGCATGCTTGTGTGTTGATTAGTCTCAGGATAATTACAGCTCTGTGATGACCTCAGAAGTTTTTTAGAGAACAGTTGTGAACAAACATCATGAATCAGACAAATCGGGGAGGTTTAAAGCAGGGTTAGGTTGTAAAACAATCTCCACAAGCTTTGAACATCCCAGAACTGAATGTTACATTAAATCGCAGTTCTTATTGAAATGTCAGTGTGTGCAACATCACAGCTTCTATGGATCGCATTGATGCAATACAATTTCAGATGGAAAAGATTGAAACTCTGCTTTCTAATAATCTATTTGGTCACCTAGGCAGACTGGTACTGTCCTTTTTGCAGACAACTGATATAGATTCTCCTGATCCTACTCAGAAAGCTCAGAGTGAGTGAAGGAGACATTGTGCTGGTTGAACAGAATGAGACTATTGAAGAAAATGAGAGTTACCAATGCAAAATTCAATATTCTTATAAACATTTTTCGCTTTGTCTAAAATTGCACAATTGCAAACTGACCGAGACTTGCCAAGTCATCTACCTAAGCTGATAGTCAACGATAGGTTTAGAGATGCAGAAATCAACACCTGAGGTTGGAGAATCTGTCAAAAGAGGAGCTGCACAAATTTTCCTTATGTAGAAGTAAAAATATTGATGAAGGAAAGCTTTGCAGTTTGCACCAAACAATGCAGGACACACAGCAAACTTGTGGATGGAAGATTTTTGGTCAGACAAGACCTAACCTGAACTTTTTGACTTGCTGCAAAGCTGAATGAAGCTAAATACAAGGTTTCCTAGTAAGAAAATCTTTTTAAGTTTGGCGTCCGGCAGCTCAAACTTTGATCAAGGCTGCAGTAATGGCTTAATGCCTGGATTAGAATCGACCCGTCAAAGTCAAGAAGTAAACCAAGAATCTGTGGCATGACTTGAACATTGGTATTCACAGAATATCACACAATTTGACTACATTTATTCAATTTTCCAAAGACAAAATGGTCCATGTCATTGCATCATAGAGTGGTTGCAAACACTCACTAACAGGGACTGAGTAGAAATTGACTTCACACCTCTCAGATTTTTATTTGCAAGCGAATTCGAAAACCACAAGTTTTTTTTTCTATCCACTTTACAAGCATTCAGTGATATGTAGTGGTCTGTCACATAAAATGCTACTAAAGTACTTTGAGGTTTGTGGTTTCAACATTATAAGAGATTAAAAGGGTATGAATACTTTTGTACTGTAAGCTGCAATGAGCCAAGCAGTGTTGAGCCAATGTGATCTTAGCATGTATTGCCATTGACCTGCCTTCATCAACAAAATTATTTGAAAGAAGGACAAATGTTTATCTCGATTTCACCAGCAGCTTCGTGCTCCACAATTTGCAGGATCAATTTCATGCAAAAACATGCATGAATATTGTGTTCAATTAGCCTTTGAACAGCATGAGCATTATGCATTTGCCTATCCCTTGGACTCCATAAATTCTAAGTGTCTATTTAAACCCATGGCAGTCATCATCGCAGTGTCGAAAACCTTTGACCACCATGATGGATGATGTAATTGGGTTGAACGAGGCTGCAAGGAAACAACAGACAGCAGACCAAAGGATCCCATATTATTTCTCAGACACATTAAAAGAAAAGGAGATCTAATCTCGTCACCTTTGTTGGGGATAGTTGTGCAAAATGTCGACGGTGTAGTTTGTGTACATGTGAAACAGCATCAGAGCGCTGGAAGGTGAATAATTTTTGGTGGCATCTGCACATTTTGCAGTATGCTAATGAGCAAAGCTGCAAAAGCCAGATTGCCAGGAGAGAGAAGGGGAGATGGAGAGGAAAGAAAAACAGGGAGGGAGCCGCGTGGAGGAGAGAGAAACAGACGGAGGCTGGTGTAAATTATGGATGCAACCTGCGATTTCCAAGAGGGAAAGAAAGGCAGAGAGAAACCTCCAGTCATGCATATCAGATTATGCATTTACCACATTTTCTTATCATGGTCCATGAGCAAAACTTGAATGCAATCTGGGCTCTTTGTGAATGCGTGCGTGTCGGTGTATGAGACAGAGAGGGAGAGCACTTACATATTCATCCATGTCAAGTTTCGTGGAGTTGTGTTGTGCTGTCAAGCGTTCTCTAAACTTCGTACAATGTGTTCACTTTTATCACTCTTACTGTTTTGTTTTTTGCTGTATCCGGGCACTGTTTACAATAGAGATGCAGAAATCAACCAGCAGGACATCGGAATTGGCCTTTGATTGGTCAAAACAGAAAAATCAGATTTATTTCTCCCCACTTTTTAATTTTGTACATCTGACCAAAAACAAATTTTCAATCACATGGGAACATATACTCACATACACAACTCTCTTCATTTCTTAATTTTATTACGATATTTTTTGCTCTTTTATGGCATTATCACTCTTTGGAAAAAATCGACCCGATCGGTGCATTTCTACTATACGTTTCATTCACAGAGAAGAAAATCTATTCTGCTCCAGGCTGTTTCAGTTACTCTCTGTTCTCAAATCACAGAGGCTACGCCTGACATTTTTAATGGCACAAAAAGCTGAGTAGTGCGTTGTTTAAAAACACCCCCCAAAAAACCAAACAAACAAACAAACTCGACTCTCATTATGTGACTTGCTGGGGCATTTTAGTTAAGTGAAGTTAAGTAAAAGGGAGCATTCGTTCAGCGCTACCACATCCCAGCCTTGTGTGCCAGTCCCCTGAGTATGGTATGTGTGTCTGTGTGAATAATGGATCCATTCTTGAGTCATGTCTGTGACTTGGGCCTGAGCAGTGGTGTGGTTTCCCCCACCAGAGGTTGGAGGTACAGGGACGGGAGGGGCTGCTGGTCTGGAAATAGCTCTGCCTGAGCTGAGAGCACCTTAGGTGGGCCTCTGTCTGAGCTTCATCTCCCTTTAACGCACTTACAAGACAAAAAGTACAGTTCTGCTCGCGAGTGCTCTGCACATCATGAGCACGTTTTCCCTACTGTGGCTTAACAGAACTGGAGTCAGCTTTGCTGTCTCTGTGATCTCCTCAAACATGACAGGAGGCTTCTAAAAATGCCGCAGCTTCTAAGAATTGAACAAGAGTCGTATTGCACTTTAAAGCTAGACAGAAAATATGAAGCTCCCTTGGATCTCACTGTCATGTAAATGTGTGTTAATGTGTAAAGTAGGTCATTTATGTGGAGCAGGGACAGCCGTGTTGCACTTCTCTTCAACGGAATATAGTTTGCACGCAGACACATAGCAGGATTTGGCAAACACAGCGAGGGATTTATGTTTACCCCCATTTTGTTTATATGTCCCGCTAAAACATCAACATAGAAGGGGAGGAAGAGGCGACATGGGTGGGAGTGGAGGGGGCACTGAAGGTGAAAATCGCTGTGGTCAGTCCAAGTACAGCATCAGTAACCACAACCACAGATAGAAGCAGAAAAATCTGACTAAATCAGATTACCAAACAAAGAGTAAAGAGGATTAATTCTGATCTGTCTCGCTGCCTCCCCACCTCTCCCTTCCCCCCAATCTGCAATCTATAAAATCCTCTGACAGTTTTCTGATTTACTTTGTGTTTCTTTTTCTTTGCATGTTTCTGTAGGTAAAACTCTTTCAGCTTGCTAGTAAAACTTGCTCTTTTGTTTTGACTAAAGACATCTAGAAATCTGGAGAACTGCTCTCCCCACCCTAAAATACACAAATAATCTTCTTAAGTCATGAACCGAGGAATTGACTGATGGCTGTAATCTGACATTTTTCAGCCTGATCTGCCCTAACTGGAGAGTGGCCAGTCAGAAACTCAACATTCCTGATCAGTGAATATCAGCAAATTCAGCATTGCTAAACACTAGCGGCAGCAACACTCCTCAGTGTTGTGGTTGTGACTGCAAGTAGACATTTGGAAATGTTGGGAGCTTTTTGAGAATCCTAGAGGAGAGGTTTCTTTAGGTAATACAGATGGAAGCTGCTGTTTTGATACGCCATGCCACTCTAATCTTAAATAGAAGATGCTAAAGACAGTTTAAAATGTCAGATGCAACTCTGCTGGTTTTAATTTTAATATAAATTATCTACAGAAGGGAGGTTAGTACACAGTATTTTAGTTAAGGCTGTGCAACACCCAGGAAAATGTGTAATTACAGTCCTGCATCATAATTTTGTAAATATTGATTCAGATTAATCCATATCGTTGTGGCTCTTGTTTTTTTTTCTTTTTGTTCATCACAATGTCCTGCCTCTCTTTACTATCACAGTCACTGTGACTGTGGGCATGATAAAAGCCCAAGTATATTGTTACTTTCCATAA